ACCCCCCAGGGTAGCTCCGTGCCCTCCCTGCACCCCCCCGGGGGTCCCATCCCTGCACGCCCGGGGGGGCTGTGGTCCTCCAGGGGATCGGGGCTGTGCCTGTCCCCCCCCCCGGGACTGGTCCGTGCTCCCCCCCAGGATGGGGTCCACGCACAGGTCTGTGTCCCGGAGGATGTAGCAGTGACCTCCCCAGCACAGGGTCCACGCACCCCCCCGTGTCACCTCCGGGCCATGCAGCCCCCAGGAAAGGTCCGTTTGCCCCCCCAGGACAGAGCTGGGCAGCGGGTGCAGGACACAAGCTTTGTGTTAGGGTCCCCAAACTGGGGTTGGGGTCCCCCCACTGTGGCCCCGGCGGCAGGTGACGTCCCCATGGCCACGGCTGGGTTGGGGTCCCCAGGACAAGGCAGCGCAGGCAGGGCCTGCTGCCCGCCGTGCGGCCGAGCAGGACTCCTGCCTGCGGGAGGGTGACCCACTTTGTGTCCCCCCCCGGGACGCGGCCGCCCGTGGCAGGCGGTGTCGCCGCTCCCCCGAATGCCTCCTTCCCCGGCGGTCGCGGGCTCCGCTCGGTGGCGGGGCAGCGGCGTGCCCGTCCCCGGCACGCTGCAGCTCCCGTGACCTTATCCCAGAGAGCCAAGGTGAGCGGCACGGCCTTGGCGTGCCGGGGGGGAGCGGGTGGCCGCGGGGACGAGCAGGGAAGAGGGGGACGCAAGGGCTCGGGCGTGGGCTGGGATGCTGCGGGGTTCCATCCTGGCGCTCCACCGGCGGACCCCTCGTGCAGGTTTGGTGATGGCACCGGGTGCTGGGAGGGGGCTGGGGGCCGCTCTCGCTGGCAGCGGGGCGAGAAGGACCCTGTGGCCGGAGCGGGGTGAAGGCAGGATCCGGCCCCCCGTGCCCAGACGAGGTTGGGGGGGCAGGAGCGGTGTTGGGGACCCCTCTGCGGCTCAGCCACGTCTTTTCCCGTGACCTTGGGTAGGAAAAAATCCTCCTGCACCCGGAGCCGAGGCCTCGGGGTGGGCGCCCACCCAGCATTGCCCCGCTTTGCACGCTGGCACACACGCGTGTGCAGGCTTCGCCGGCTGCCTCCGCCGCTGCCCGGCCGTGCCTGCCAGCTGGGCCCCCGTGGTGCCCCCACCCCGCTGCCCGCACTGCCGGCTGGGTTACACTGCTCCCGGCAGGGTGTAAATAATTCAGGGTGGGTGAGCTCACCCCACTGGTGTCGGCGAGCTGCCCGGCGAGCGCGGCCGAGTCACCACCACCAGCACCGTGCACCCACTGGGCCTGAGATGCGGGATGTGCCTTGGGGTGCAGGATGGGTCCCGCTTCGGGGGCGGCTGGCTGGCAGCCTGGCGCCGTCCCCGGCTTTCGCCCACGGTGCCAGGACAGGGCGGCCTTTCAGAGCCCGGCGCCACGGCCCCTTGGTGACGGCGACTCAGGCAATGAATTTGTCGGGTCTCAGCCTGGCTGGTGGCGGGGCCCTGCTCTGCTCCCCCAGCCCAGGAGGGTCTGGGGGTGCCTGGAGCCGGGGTGCATCCCCTGGGATGAGCTGCCGGAGCAGGTTTGGCATTTCCTGTTTTTCGGGGCCGGCAGGTCCGGTTGTGAGGTGTGCAGCAGTGTTTCCGGAGCCCCGGGACCTTCCCAGCCCTGGGGCAGCCGGAGAGGCCGTGACGTCCCCTGGGCATCGGTCCACCCACCCCATCCTGGCTCTGCCGCCCTGGCTTAGGAGGGGAAACTGAGGCAGAGAGGTGGCTGGGCGCATTGCTGGTGTGGGGCAGGGACAAATGGTGTCCCGTGGGGGGACCCACTCCAGCACCGTCAGGGACCCTCATCCTGCCCTCTCTGCCAGCTCCGGGCAGCATTTTGGGATGCACCTTGTCCCCGGCAGGCACGATGGGGACGCTGGGCACAGGGGACAGCATGTCCCCGCGGCGTGAGCACCCCGCAGCAGGACAGGGGCCGTGTCCCTGCACCAGCTCCCACCGAGGGGTGATGAGGGGACCCTGGGGACCGTCCCCATCCCGCCTCGCCGCGGCAATACGGGGCCTCCCCGGGTTTCCATGGAGACCGGTTGCTTTTTCGCTCTCCCCATTTTTCCTGCGGTTTCCCATCTCCCGGAGCCGCGGCCCTGCCGGATCCCGGCCCCGCCGAGGGGCTGCGGGCAGAGGTGAGGGGTTTGGGGGGGCTGCAGGGGGGCACCCCAGGGCATCCTGTGGCAGCCAGCACCCCAGGGATGCCAGGACACGCTGCCGGCTCCTCCCCGGCAGCTGTCGGGGCCTTTTTGGGCACCCTGAGCTGCCGGAGGAGAAACGTGAGCCAGGGCCAGCGTCACCACGAGCGGGGCCGTGACCTGCTGCCATGGCCACTGCTGGGGACGGCCACCGCCGGGGACATGCCGGGGTTCCCCGCACCCATCCCATGGCGCCGGCAGCTGAGTCCTCGGTGCTTCGGGGTCCGGTTCCCAGGGCTGTGGGTGGGGGGGGTGCTCCACGGGGTCCCGCGGCTGCTGACCCCCTCCCTCCCTCCCTCCCTCTCCCCGGCAGATAAGCTCTTCGGGAAGCGGCTGCTCCAGGCTGGGCGCTACATCATGTCCCACAAGGCCTGGATGAAGACGGTGCCCACGGAGAACTGCGATGTGCTCATGACTTTCCCCGGTAGGGAGATGCCCAGGGTACGCGGGGTGGGGGCCAGGGCTGACGGCACCGGTGTGGAGCACCGGGATGGCGGCACGGAGCTGCAGCGGGGATGGGGGATGTGGGGAGGGATGGGGACCGAGATGGGGTGTGCTGGGAGTCGTGGACCGCGCTGACTGGTGCCGTCCAGACACCACCGACGACCACACGCTGCTCTGGCTCCTGAACCACATCCGCCTTGGCATCCCCGAGCTCATCGTCCAGGTCCGGCACCACAAGCATACCCGTGTCTACGCCTTCTTCGTCACCGCCACCTACGAGAGGTAGGGTCCTGGCTGCATCCCCAGTCCCCGTTGTGTCCCCTGCTGTGTCCCCAGCTGTGTCCCCTCTCCCTGCAGTTTGCTGCGTGGGGCCGATGAGATCGGGCTGCGAAAGCCGGTGAAAGCCGAATTCGGTGGAGGCATGCGGAGTTTCTCCTGCGAGGAGGATTACATCTACGAGAACATTGAGAATGAGCTTTACTTCTTCACCTCTCAGGTGGGATGCGGGGGGACGAGGGACATGGGGCGGGGATGCAGGGATGTGGGCATGCAGGACAGGGACATGGGGCAGGGAATGCATGTCCTCTCCCCCTCCCCAGGTGAAGAAGGGGATCAGGGAGCCCCAGCCCAGCTGGGGATCAATCCAGCCATCCCCCAAACTGGGGACAAGGCGGATCTGGGGAGGGAACAGGACGGTGGCAGGGGCTGGGGATGCAGGTGTGGCAGGAGAGGGGCCGGGGACCGGGCAGTGGGACCATTGCCGAGGGCTCAACCCCACTGCGGTGCCGCAGGAACGGCAAAACATCATCAGGTACTGGCTGGAGAACCTGCGCGCCAAGCAGGGCGAGTCGCTGCACAACATCCACTTCCTCGAGGGGCAGCCCATCAGTGAGTAACGGCATGGCGTGGCGCGGTACGGCACGGCACGGCACCGCCACCCCGCTGCCCCATCCTGTGCCCATGCCGTGCCATGGTGGCTCTGGGGGACATAAGCCCGGCAAGGGTCCCCTGTCACCACGTGTCCCCATCCCCGGGGCTGTGTGCCAGGCAGGGTGGTGGGTGCGTGGTGGCTGTGCCGTGCTGTGGCCGGGCAGTGCCGCGTATGGGCACAGAGCCCCCGACGTACCACGGTCACCCCAAATCCGTCCTCCCCATTGTCCCTGCTCCAAACCCCGCCACACCAGGGCCATTTGAGGACACCCATGGGGGGGGCTGGGGCAGGCTGGCAGCGTCCCCGCAGCCCGTCCCTCACCCCCTGCCCCGCGGTGCAGTCCCGGAGCTGGCAGCCCGCGGCGTCATCCAGCAGGTCTTCCCCCTGCACGAGCAGAGGATCCTCAAGCGGCTCATGAAGACATGGGTGCAGGCAGTTTGTGAGGCCCAGCCGCTAGGTAAGGTGTTGAGGGGGTGGCATGGGGGCGGGTCTGGGAGGTCCCAGCCCCGCTTACGCCGCCCTCGGCCCCCACAGATGAGATCTGCGACTACTTTGGGGTGAAAATCGCCATGTACTTCGCCTGGCTGGGCTTCTACACCTCGGCCATGGTGTACCCCGCCGTCTTCGGCTCCATCCTCTACACCTTCACTGAGAGCGACCAGGTGAGAGGGGTGGGGAAATGGGGTAAATCCCTGCATTTGGGGGCCATGGGGGGGGTCGTCCATCCCTCTTTGCTTTGGGCTTTCCCTGTGATGCTTTAATACTGCAATTGCTGAGCTGGGAGGCACCCAAGCCCACCGTGTTGGGGCTGGAGCAGCACCATGCAGCTCCCCAGGGCTGCAGGGGGGGTGTCAGGGACAGGAGGGGACCGACCCCGGTGCAGTTGGTGCCATCCGTCCTGCAGACCAGCCAGGACATCTGCTGCGTGGTCTTCGCCATCTTCAACGTCATCTGGGCCACCCTCTTCCTCGAGGAGTGGAAACGCCGCGGGGCCGAGTTCGCCTACAAGTGGGGGACGCTGGACACCCCGGCCGAGTCCATCGAGGAGCCCCGGCCCCAGTTCAGGGTAAGCCCTGGCAGGGTGGGTTCCCATGCCTGGGGGGGGTCCCTGGGGCTGGGGTCCAGCTGAGCCCCTCCCTGACCCTGACGAGCCACCCGCAGGGGTCTGTGCCGGGTCCCACCAGTGCTGGGGTCACGGAGGGATCCCATGGGGAGGGTCACACGCTGCCATGTCCCACACCACACACCCCACACCCCCCGTTAGGGCATTAAGAGAATCAGCCCCGTGACCAGCGCGGAGGAGTTTTACTACCCACCATGGAAGCGCTTGCTCTTCCAGTGCCTGGTCAGCCTCCCCGTCTGCCTCGCCTGCCTCTCCCTCGTCTTCCTCCTCATGCTGGGCTGCTTCCAGCTCCAGGTGGGTCCTCATCCTGCCCGCACCGGGCTGCCAGCCCCCTCCGTGCTGACTCTGACACCGTCCCCATCCCCGCAGGAGTTTGTGCTGAGCATCCAGGAGCTGCCCCGGATCATCCGTTTCCTCCCCAAAATTGTCCTGGCTGTCATCGTCACCGCCTGCGACGAGGTTTACAAGAAGATTGCATATTGGTTGAACGACATGGGTGCGTGGGGGTGGCACCCGGGGGTGCTCCCAGCAGGGCTGGGTGCTGGGACCCCCCGAGCCCCATCCTGAACCCCCCTCCTCTGCTTTGCAGAAAACTACCGCCTGCAGAGTGCCTACGAGAAACACCTCATCATCAAAATCGTCCTGGTGAGAAGGGGCCGGGTGGCCCCAGGAGGGGACAGAGGGGACTGGGGGGGTCCCGGCAGCCACCCCGCGCTCACCCCCCTCTCTCCCGCAGTTTCAGTTTGTAAATTCATACCTGAGTCTTTTCTACATCGGTTTCTACCTCAAAGACATGGAGCGGCTGAAGGAGGTAAGGGGCCGTGCCCGGGGGCGGCGGGGCCGGCCTGAGCCCCCTCTGGCATCGCCCGGACAGACAGACGGATGTCCTCCACTCAATCCTGCCACCGTCCCCCCCGTGCCTTCCCGGGGGGCCGGTGTCCCCGCATGCCCCCACCACAGTCCCTGGCTGCTGTGCTCCTGGCCGGAGGCTGCGCTGGGTCCCCAGCTCCTGCTCCTGCTCACGGTCTCTCTCTGTCTGTCTGTCTGTCTGTTCTTCTGTCCCTTCCACAGCTCCTGCTCATCTTCTCTCTCTCCCAAAGCCTCGTGCGTCAGCTCAAAGACGCTCTCCTTCCCTCCATCCTCCTCCACCTCCACCTCTCTCTCATCTTCTTTAAGGGCCTCCTGGGCTTTTGCTGGAGACTGGGAGTATCCAAAGTAGGAGCGGGGAGGGGGGGGGGCCGGGCATCTCCCCGCACCCCACCCCTTGCACCCCACCCCGGGACCCCCGCTGCCCCCGGGAGGGACACGGGTGTCCCCAGCCCCGGCTCTGCTCCGGCTGGCGGTGGCACATGCGACTCTAGTGCCGCTGAGGTCCCATCCCATCACTTGTCACCAATGGGGGGGGGGGTCACGGGAGGCGGGGGGGGAACCAGGCTTAGGTGTCCTGCTCCACCAGCACGGCCATGGGGAGGAGCAGGGACCCCGCGGGGGGCAGGCGATGGGGATGCAGGGACACACAACACCCCCCCCCACCCCAGGTGCTGTCCCCCCTCCCTGGGTGACAGCGTGCACCCCGTGTCCCCGCGCAGATGCTGGCCACGCTGCTCATCACCCGCCAGTTCCTGCAGAACATCAGGGAGGTGTCGCAGCCCCACTTGTACCGCCGGCTGCGCCGGGGGGACCTCAACCTCTGCAGCCTCCGCCAGCTCGCCCACGCCGTCCTCCATCTGCTCGCCCCCCACCGCCACCCCCCAGCCCCCCCCGAGGGGTCACGGGGGGAGAAGAAGTGTCTGAATGGGGGCTGCGGGGTGCCGGAGGAAGAGGAGGAGGAGGAAGAGCGGCGCGAGTCGGATTCGGAGGAGGAGAGCGCCCTGGATTGCGGGTTGAAGCTGAAGAAGGTGAGCTTCATCGAGAAGGCGGAGCGGCGCGGCGGAGAGCCCGGGGGCCCCGAGGACGAGAGCTTTCTTGAGGAGGGCAGCCCCACCATGGTGGAGAAGGGCATGGACCCTGCGTCCGTCTTTGAGCTGTGCGAGGATGAGGAGGAGACCGAAGGTCCCCCCGGTAGCCCGGTCAAGGCGGCAGAGCCGGCGGTGGTCCCACGGGCTGGCCGGAGGAGGCGGACGGCTGAGAGTCGGGAGGAGGAGGATGGTGAGGAGGAAGGGCGGAGGCGCAACCGGGCGTCGTGGATTGACCCACCGGAGGAGAACTACTCCACGCAGCTGACGCAGGCGGAGGTGGAAAGCTGCATGAAGAAGTATGAGGTGAGTGGCCCCAGGAGGGCACGGCCCCGGTGGGGTGCAGTGTAGCCCCCACCAGTCCCATTGCAACATGTTCTTCCTCCTCCTCTTCCTCCCCAGGACACCTTCCAGGACTACCAGGAGATGTTCATCCAGTTCGGCTACGTGGTGCTCTTCTCCTCCGCCTTTCCCCTGGCTGCCATGTGCGCCCTGGTGAACAACATCATCGAGATCCGGAGCGATGCTTTCAAGCTGTGCACGGGGCTCCAGCGTCCCTTCGGCCAGCGGGTCGAGAGCATCGGGCAGTGGCAGGTGGGTTGGGGGTGACGGGGGGGTGCCTGGTGGGGCATGTGGCTGGCCAGGACACTCATCCCCGGCACCATCGCTCTTGCAGAAGGTGATGGAGGCCATGGGCGTCCTGGCCATCGTGGTCAACTGCTACCTGATTGCCCAGTGTGGGCAGCTCCAGCGCCTCTTCCCCTGGCTCAGCCCTGAGGGAGCCATCATCTCCGTGGTGGTGCTGGAGGTACAGCGCTTGCGCCTGGGGCTTGTACCCGCTGCCCGCTCCGTGGTTATTTGTTATTGTAGGGTCTCCCGGTACATGACAAGGTGTTGCCTTGGCTCAGACAGCCAAGGGGTCCCGCAGACCTTCCCCTTGAGGGATGGGGTCCCAGCCCTAAACCCTCCCTTGCAACCCCAGGCACCTCCCTGCAGGTTTTGGGTGCTGCCAGGCACTGCAATGGGGCCCAGAATCCCCCAGGCTGTTATTGTAGGGTCTCTCCAGCCCCCATTCCTTGCAGGGTGCCTTTTGGGAGGGGACAGCGGTGCCCACGGGGCTGGGGTGGGGATGCTCAGCCGGACCCACGTTCCCTCTGCAGCACTTCGTCCTGTTCCTGAAGTACATCATCCAAGTGGCCATCCCCGACATCCCTGCCTGGGTGGCCGAGGAGATGGCCAAGCTGGAGTACCAGCGCCGCGAGGCCTTTAAGGTAGGTGATGCCGGGGTGGGACCCTCCTTGGGGCCCAGCAGGGAGCTGGGACACCCCCACCCCTGGGGCGGGTGGGCTTCCCCGGGCGTCCCCAAGGTGTCCCCAGGGCTGACGTGTTCCCCCTTGACAGAAGCACGAGCGGCAGGCGCAGCACCACTTCCAGCAGCAGCAGCGGCGCAAGCGGGAGGAGGAGGAGAGGCAGCGGCACGCCGAGTACCAAGCCCGCAAGGAACGTGAGTCCAGCCGTGACGAGGCCAAGCCCGAGGCCGCCGGGCAGGACCCGGCCCACGAGAAGAGCCAGAGCAAAGGGAAGGGCTCCGGGGGCACCTCGCACGGCTCCGACAAGCCCAAACGACCCAGCTCCCTCTTGGCCACTAACAATGTGATGAAGCTGAAGCAGATCATCCCTTTGCAGGGCAAATTCCTCTCCGGGGGGACCGGGGCTGGCAGCACGGCCACTGCCAGGTCCCCCCAGTCCCCCACCGGCAGTGAGAACAAACTCCCTGGCTTCCTCAGCTTCAAGTTCCTGAAATCCCCCGAGACTAAGCGGGACACAGGGACTGAGAAGGTCCAGTCGCCCACCAAGCCATTCAATCCCGGCAAGCTCTTCAACTTTGGCAAGTCCGAAGGGGCCGGGGGCAACGGCACCGCAGCCACTGCCTCCCCCCAGCCCCGGCCCGGCCCCTCGGCGGACACGGGCGAGCGGCTGGTCCCCAGCAAGTCCCATCTCAATGGGGTGCCAGAGGAGGGGGGCCGAGAGGAGCCGGAGAGCCGGGCGGAGGAGGAGAGCGGGGGCTATAAACTCTAACCAGACCTTTTGGGGGAGCGGGAGCGAGCGGGGCTGCCCGCTCCCCTCTTCAGGCAGCCGTGGACATCGTCACCCTCTTGCCTCCCCTCGCCGTCCCTTGCTGCAGGGAGCACAGGGCTGGGCTGAGCCCACCGGGTGCCAGCGCTGGCCCCTCGCTCTGCACCGTCCCCCCTCTGCCGTGTCCCCTCGTGTCCCTCCAGCCCCTCTGCTGGGACCCGCTGCCGCCCTGGCCCCAGCTCTGGCGGGGAACCAGCCGCATCCTGCACCAAGGACACCTGAGCAAAGCGCCGTCGGTCTGGCCGCAGCTTTGGACGGAGCATCCCAACAGGTTTCCCTCCTGTGCTCCTCCGCACGCTCACGGGTGGGAGATGCCCCGGTCTGGCTCCGCGCCGTAAACCTAGGGTCCCGGCCCCCAGCACCGCACCCACCACCCTGAGGAGTCAGCACAGGGAGATGCCGCGGTCCAGCCTGAGGAGACACAGGAGCTTGGTGCTGCCAGATCCACCAGGACCAACCCGCCAGGCTCAGCACCACATCTCTGATTGTGGAGGGACGAGACTGTGGCGCTCGCAGGAGCAGTGGCGAGAGGAGCCCGATTCACCCGTGCCTACAGCCCCCGCCATCATACAGCCATCGCCCAGGGTCCCACCGGCAACAGGGCCGTGCCCTGCTCCGTCCTGCTCCCGGCAGCCTCTGCGTGGATTCCTTCCCAGCACCGGGACATTTTCCTGCCCAAAGCCTGGACAGCCGGGAGGGAGGGGGGTGAGCGGCCAGCTCCAGCCACCTGGATTCCCATGCATGGGCAGCATTTCTTGCACTAAAACTGAAACAAAACCCAACGCAAGCGACTCTCTCCCCTTCTTCGTCTGACGGCTCGAGGCAGCAGAGGCGAGAGCTGGCACCGGTGCCGTGGTTGGCAAAGCCCGGCCAGGTGTGGGCAGCAGCCCCAGCGACTGCAACGCGAGCCGGGACAGTCCCTTCCCCTCTCCACTTTCTTATTTCGTGGAATTATTTTGCAATAAGACACTCACAGACGGAGATCGTGCCGGAGCCCGGGAGAAGGAGCGGGGCTGGGTGGGGGGGAAACACAAGGTCTCTGCAAGGGCAGGGTGGAGGGGGTGGGAGCAGCTTCGCTTCTGCCAGGGCGAAGGTTTTGCCATCGCTGGGTCTAGTCTTAGTGCTTTAACAGCTGCCATCCTCGCTCTGGCTGTGCGGGGAGGGGGCTGCAACACAGCTGCTCCTCGCTTTTCAGTGGCTCTGCTCGGTGCTGCTTCGCTTTAGGGGCCAGGACAGGGTGGTGGTACCCCAACACGGTGCCCACTGGTGACCTGGCTGGGGACATCCAGCCCTGCCAGCTCCCTCCTGTCCCTCACCACCAGCTCCGCTCTCTGCCCACCAGCCACCAACCATTTCCAAAGCAAGCCGGGGAGAGGCGGGGGGCTGCCGGGAGCCGGGGGGACGCCCGGGTGGCCGCCCCATCACTGTGCCTGGTCCAGGCCCAGGCGGTCACGCGGGGTCTGCGCACCCCTCTCTTCCCAAGGCCTGGGCTGTAGAACACGTCAGGTTGTATTTTTTCCCCCCCTGTCTCTTTCCACACATCATGTAATTTTTTTTTTTTGTCTTTGAATCAAGCCATTTTATACAGCAATAAGGGCAGGAGAGGGCAAAGGCTTTATCTGCTGCTCCGCTCAGCCAGCGCAGGAGCCGAGGTGCTGCCAATGGTCCAGCGCAGGCAGGGAGATGCTCTCCAGGGCCAAGGGCACCGTCCCCACCACGGGGGACAAGACCCCTGCAGCAGCTGGGGACAGCCCTGAGCTTTGCTGTCCCTGAGACCGCAGGGGCCAGGGCTGGCTCCCCGCAGACAGCCGTGGAGGTCGGGCAGAGCCCTCTCCCCGGGGCTTACTGGGCCGGCGGTCCCCCCTCGCCCTCCCACACCAGCCATGCCCTCTCCTGGGTGCGAGGAGCAGAGGATGAGGGAGAGATTTCTGGGGCGAGGGCAGGGAAAAGGGAGCACTGTGCTATGTGGTGCTGGGAAACTGGGGCACACGGGCCCTCAGAAACCCAGCGAGACCAGCACGGCCATGCACTGGAGCAGGAGCAGCTGCATGTTAAGTGATGGCAGGAAAAAAGACCCCAGCCCGGCTGGGGGTACCAGGTAACCCAAAACACCCACCCCTGCTGCACAGCTGCCTGGCCCTCAGGGCTCTACAGAGCTCACCCCACACCTGGCTGCTCTGCCTGCCCTGCCTGCACACATCCCAAAATCAGGCAGGGCCGCAGGCAGAGGGACAGAGCGCTCTCCCTTTCTCCGTTTCATTTAGTTTCTCTGCTTGGGTTTGGCTGGTCGGGGCCAGCTCTCATCTCTGCCGCTCTTGAACACATGCTGGTCTTAAAGGGAGTTTCTTTTATCCCATTTCCCTCCTGAGAGTAACAGTCCTGGTACCATCTATTCCTGCACCGCTTGCCAGAGGAGAGGGCAGGGTCCCGCTGCTGCCAGGACCCCGCAAGTCCAGGGCATTTTTAAACATTTCTCTATACAAAGTATTTCTACAAGCGGCCGCCTGTCTGGTATCTCACTCTTCCAGGCAGTTACTGTACAAAGGAGGGAAGAGTTAGGTTGTTTTAGGCTTTTTTTTTTTTCCTTGCTGTGTTTTATTTCTTTGGAAATTAAAAAGAAACTAAGGGGGTTATTTATTTCTTTTTAATTTATTTTGTCATATTTTTGTAAAACCTGCAGAAATGCAATAAAAATATATTTCAACAAGCCTGAGGTGTGGGCTAAATTATTGCCCGCAGCGGCTTGCATGGCACATCTGCTCAGGGGACAAGTCTCGGGTCTCCTGTCCCCGGGGAAGGTGGAGGGGACATTAGGGATGCTGTCACCCTTCACAGTCCTCTAACACAGGGCAAAGCTATGAGAAAGCGACACAAGGACAAGCCCCACTGGCACGGTTTGATGCAAAGCGCCCTCCGGCAGCCACACCGCAGCTCTCGCACGTATTGTCAGGTAGAGGAAGAATGAAGAAAGTTATAATCCTCTAAATTCTGCAAATTTATTATACACAGTATCAAACATGGAATAGTTTAAAAATAAATGCAAAAAAAATCCAATGGCCATGACATTCGACTAACAGTGTATTTACAGTCACTCCACGAGGGCAGCCCTTCTGCCAACATGCAGCTTTCAGGAAAAACCACTTTCTCCCAGCCCCACAAGACAATATTTTTGCAAAAGAGGAAAATTCAAGTTGCAAAGACAGGTTGGAAGTAACACAGACTCAAAAGCTGGATGTTGCATTGCAAAAACCAGCCTGGTACTGCATGTGCTGAATGAACCAGAAGAGTTAAAAGCAGTTGTGAACGACAGAAAGCTCTGAGCTGCTCTCAGACACCCAGCTGTGATGTGCAACTGGCCAAGGACGGGGTGGTTTAACTAAAAATACCCAATAAAGCTTGTTAATGGCACACTGTGCGCTGATTAATAAGAAATGAATGCATTTGGAAATCAGCACAACTGTAGCACAGACAACGCAGTGACTCAGCTCTGACCATCCATTCAGATTTCGTGCTATTTCTTACAGTAAGTGATTAGTCATCCCATGTCCCTGCATCCGTGAGAGCCATCGCTAAGGAACAAACCAGACAGCTAGTCCTGCTCTCCACCAGCTTACTCCACTGCCTCGATGCTCCCTAGCCCCTCACCCCTTTTCACACTCACATGCTGCTTCTATCAAAGCAGGGGAGAGTATTTGACCTGTTAAGACTGTCCAATATCATGTGTCTCAAAAAAAAAAAAACATGAAAGCACTGTGTGTTTTTAACACCAACATCCCAGGGACTGCAGCACTGTGATTCACTGAAGAGCGAACAGGGACAAGTCGTCCTGGGGATGTTTATGGATGGAGCTGGTAGCAAGGAGGCAAAGTGAAACACTACTGCTAGTCGCTAGCCAAATAAAGTTTGCTTCAGTCACAAAGGCAAGGAAATTAAAACGAGAGTTATAGCACAAAGAGCACAAATTACCGTCCTCATTGTGCACAAGGCAGCTGTAAGGCAGCATCACTTTCCTACAGGGCTGGTGAGCCAAGGAGCAGGGCTGCCTCTCACCTCCGAATGCTGCTGAGGAGTTGGTTAGGGGAAGGAGCACCAGAGCAGGTGAAGACCGGTGGAAACCCTCGTCTGCAACCGCAGTGTGCGCAGCAGCAAACGCTGGCCCTCAGGTGTGCCCACTCACCCTATGCCACCCAACCGATTCAGCCAGCCACCTCCCATATGAAAAAAATCCTGATCTGAAAGAGGGTTAAGTTTTAACAGTGCTGCCCTTCGACCTCGCCAACTGAATACTTACCTTCAGGTTTACATCAGCAAAACTTGGAACTCTACCACAAAGGTTAAAGCCACCCAGAATCCTCAAAAAACTTTAAGACCACCAATAAGGTAAGGTTTTTTTAAATTCCTAGAACAACCCAATTCTAAAATCACACACGTAGGGAGCCTTAGTTCTTCATATTTGAGGACACGCTAGGGAATTTTTGCCTTTAAAAACAGACTCTCAGTGTTAAAGAGAATTTGAAAGCTGGTATTTCATTCCCTTGTTTCAGTTACAAAGATGTTCTTCCCTGCAGGCCAGATTCAGCCTTTTCAACACCTAGAAGATGTTTTTTTCCCAGTAGTTAAAAAAAGATGAGGCTCTAGAAGTCCTGTCTCCTCCCTGACATTAAACTCTCAAGATGACACACATCTTTTATATAAAATATAACTCAGCTGCCAGCACACGCATTTCAGGACGAGCTCTGCAAGCCAATGCTGTGACAGTAAGTCATTTAGTGCAGGCTGGATGCAGCCATCAGACCTGTAAGCAAGCTGTCAGCTGGCATAGCCAGTCCACCTGGATAGCCTGCTGACTCAGCGTTTTTGGGTGATTACTAGCAGCAAACATCCCAGATCAGCTGTTAGACGAGATCCTGGGGCTGCACTCTCCGCTGTCAGGGCACAGACGTTGTGAACCAGCAGCAGAGAAACCCAAAAGCGCAGTCAGCACGGCATGAAGGTCAGTCTGTGCTTAACCAAAGCCATGATGCAATACCCCCTTCTGGGCACAGCAGCCAGCACATCCTCTGCACTGCTCCCAAAAATGCCCTTAGCTGCTCCCAGGTAAATGCAACCCTCTCTTCTTTAAAGAGAAGGATTTCCCACTCTCTGTTACACATCAAAAAAATATAAGATAAAACATGACACAGAGATCAGCTGGAAACCCTCTGGTCACGGTCAGTGTGTCGCACAATTCCCCTGCTGCCAGGCTGACGTCATCAATCCAGGAAAACAAATTAGTTTTCCCATTATAGATATGCAGGTCTTTTTAAAAATTCTTAAAAACAAAAAATTAAGCTAGTGGTTTACAAGCAAGCCAGAAAACGTTAAGTGGTAACATAGCTGATAGCTGCAGTGTTAGAAAAGACTCCTGCTTAGTCTTTGCCCTTAAGACCAGTGTCAAGGAGCTCACCAAAAAATAAAGTTTTGAAGTTATACCTGTTATAACTACCTAGTACAGAGTGAAAATTTTAAGATTAATGTCCAGCATGTTCAAAATTTGCCTCACAGAAAACAGTCCAAACACTGACAACTGAATTGCTGCATAAGGCACACACTGGAGAGGGAAGGAAACCCATTTTCCAGCCGATCCTACTCCAAAGCCAACTTCACAGCCTTCCCCACACAGAGCTGTCGGTAAAACCCCAAACAACTGCACGCACATGGAGTTCACTAACAGCTTGGCACATTTACCAGGATGACAGAAAACAGCAGTCGGGTTGAGCGTGTCCTTTGAATTCATCACAACCCAACCTGGCAACCAGCTCCCAACAGTCACTGGGACGTGCATCCCAGACATTCAAACCAGATCACTGCTGGTGCTTCATGTCTTGCCAAGGCTAAGAAAACAAGTCTTTTTTTTTTTTTAAATCAGATTTAACACATCTAAATTATTCTAAAAGCCTGTCCTCTTACAGTGAAATGCATCTAAATGCATCCTGTTAGTGAAATACATCTAAAAACTTCTGCCCACCTTCAATACTCCTGTGGTAGAGTTTAGACCCACAACAGCCTCGGTCCAGGCTGAGCTGCAGCGTCAGACAGATGGGGAGCTGAACGGCTCCCTTCCTCCCCTCCTGGTCTCAATCCCCATCCTGCCACTCGCTGTTCTTGATAGCACAATGTGGTTTCAGGGCTTGTCAAAAACTTTTGCACATGCTTGCAGACTCCATAAGCCTTGCTAACAGTCTTCCACAGCTTGCCAGCTTTGTACAAAAACAAACCTTCTAGCCACAGGTTCTGCTGCATTTTGCACTTCCCAGTGTTTATCAGTTGGAAGGGACCCCAGGAGGTTGCCTCCAGCTCAAAGCACGGGCGATACCAAACGCAGAGCAGGTCGCTCAGGGCATCGTTCGTTAGGGTCTCGAAAAACTTCCACAGAAAGAAACAGGAAACACCTTGAAAGCTGAACATGCCAACGTTACCTGACTGAACGTACTCTGACATAATAAACTGACCCAGCACACTCCAGGAGTCAACCATCGATGCAAACAAACACAGACTTTGCTGCTCAGACAGTTACCTGTCCCCTCAGCTGTGAATTCATAGAACATGTTAAAGTCCATTCTTTCTCTCAACATTTTTCCACCTCTTAACTCTTAATGTGAGTAGTTTTTCAAAACTATTTCTCCCCTAAAAAAAGTGATCATACAATATCAAGAATTAACCTAAACAAAACTTTAGTTTCCCTGCACATCAGTCACTAGTGTATTTTTATGTTAGAAAAAGGCAGTGCCCAACTTTTTAATATTCTAAATGTACCCAGCACACATCTAATTGCTCACATTGGGCACAAGCTCCAGCACTGTTTAAAACAGGACAGACGCCTGCGAACAGGACAGTCTGCTGGAAGGGGCTGCTCCTAGACGGACTCATTGTCCCTTGATATCAAGAAACATGTTTCTGCTGCTTCGAATTTTGAGAAAAGATGCACTATTCAACTAAAAAAAACAAAATTCTGATCTCCGACAAGTATCTTTAAGTTTTCATTAAAAAATCCAAACCTTTAGTATACACTGGTAACAGAAACAATAAAAATACCACTATGCAGACATATAGAAAAACCCCCTGAGGGTCACTAAATCTCAGTCACTTTGTAACAAGAGAGTTGGAAGGAAGTCAGAGGAGCTAGGTATTATACAAACAGTGCAGTCAGCAAAAACCCAGGGTTTGTTTTTTTAAACATTTTTTGTTGTTTTCAATGCACTAAGGCACCAGGAAGTCACAGTTAGGCAAATAAGATCTTCCATGCAACATTCAAACCCAATACACTTACCATGTATTAAACAGACGTGAATACAGGATCAAAGTGCAACAGCTCGAGGACAGCACTCTTGAGGCAGCAGCAGCATGGAAAGTGAGTTGGAGAAGGAAGAAGAAAGGGAGCTCTCGCTTCAGATTGGATGGGGTGTAGAAAAGACTCACTGTGGGTATCAGAAATCCATACTGCTTGTACACAGCCACCAATGCAAAAAAAAAACCAAAACCCAACCAGTTTGACACTTAAAAGTTACATCGCTTTGAAGACTTGTTTCTCCATCACTTCAGAACTACTTTGAAAGGCAACTGTCTTTTACCTCCTAAAAATATCTGAAATATTTCAAAGGCTCCCATAACCAACAAGATCATTTTTAAAAGACACAGAGGGAACAAAGACGGGGGTTTACAACAGGAAGGAACTGCCAACTCTCTTTAATAGTACATCACTCTGTCTAGCAGAGAAGTCAGCAAAGCTCAAACCTTGCCATATCACTGAAGAATTATACAGCTTTTTACAACTTTAAAGCACTGTACAAACATTACTGCAAGGCTGCAGCTCTCAAGCTTTGCTAAACACACAAATTGGTCACACTTTACCACCAGCTGCACTTCCGTTTCCTCTTTTGGTATCTCACAGCTCTTCAAAGGATTCTTCAGTTTCAGCTTCAGATAATCCCTGCGAAGCTGGATGCTAACACGGCATCTTCAGTCACCATCTTGCACTTTGCACAAAAGCACTTTTTGACAGCGTAACTCGGGGAGGAGTCCTCTTGCAATCGCCAGTAAATCACACAGAAACCCGAGTATATTTTATCTTCACCAACACAGTTGGCATTTTCAAAGACATTCCAGAAATTTGGAGGTTACTGCCATAGCAAAAAGGTAACATTTTTTGAGGCAGATACAAAGTTCTAAACTACTCAGTGTTAAATTCACTCACTGCATAAGAAACTTGGTGCCTAATATACATTTAAAATTGCAATGTGAGCTGTGCCCTGCTCTTCCTAAGGTTCTGCCTTGCAACATACTGTCGTCAGCAACAGTTTATCAACCTTCGGGTTCCCTTTGCCCCCAAACCTGCACATGTGGCATCCCCTGGTTGGACGGGGATGCTGTGGAGAAGGGGACAGCAGAAACCCTCAAAGCTCGCAGCCACTGCGGCCACTCGGAACAAGCCTTATCCAGGATCTCTAGAAAAACGTTCGTGCGATTTCTTGAATTGGTGTTTAGGATTTGTCAACGAGGAAAAAAACACAGCTATAAATGCAACAATTTAAACTAACACAGTGTGAAGTCAGCTTCTTACGTTAAAGCAGACAAGACATCATTACTAAGCTACACCTTTCCTGTCCCCTTCAGGTGACAATGCTCATTTCCTTTTTAGTCTCTGAACCTCTGAATCCACCTAGACGACTTACAGGTCTCCATTTTGGCTCTTGTTGAAGTCAGTGAAGGGTAACAGGCAACAGGCACTGAACTGTCACAGTCCAAAAGAGATTGGTCTTCATCAGAGACCATGGAAGCTCACATTTTGATCAACTCCAAGTCCTGAACTCCATTCCAGACATGCTGATATTGCAGGAAAATACAACGTACCATTATTCAGAGCTGGCAATTGAGACAGAGAACTAGATCTAGTTGCCGAGGTGCTCCCAGACTTAATCCAGCCAAGCGCTGCCTGCAGGATGCCTACCCAACTCCATTCCATCAGCTGCTGCTTAAATACACTGTTGATCAAATACTCAGAATAGGATAAGAGTATCCTTTTATTCCAATGGAGAAGTTGCACATATCAGTCCGTTCAAGACCAAGAGACGGTTAGAATTTAAGAGCAACAAAAGCAACACACCTTTCACTTGAATTCTCCATGACCACTGGTGCATGAGATAATGTACGCTGCCAAATGACCGTGGCCCTTACAGAACAGACCAAAAGAATACAACTGATATATCAAGTTGACAACACGTTTGCCAAGATCAACATAACCCTAAATGACACCCATGATTTTTTTAGTGCAGTGCCAGTTTCAAGATATTTGAGAAAAATAGTGAGGCCCCACACTTATGGCTGGACTGGGCACATCCAAAGAAGAGTTAACGACTTGTAATATGTCAACAGGTACATGAATCAGAGAGCCTATATCACTGAAGGGTTCTGTAATAACCCACTTCTCCTACCCAGGCTCTCATAGCTAGACCTGGTTGATTAGGTAACAGATTCAACAAAACCTGTGAAAGTGACAGTGTATATTTAGAAAGGAGGAACTAAGGTTATACTACACCATTTACTGAATTGTTCCACCACTGCTCCGTAAGTTTTACGGCATAAATAAAAAATGGAGAGAAAAAAAGAAATAAATACGTTGGCTCCTATAAAGTCAGAAGTGGTTTGGGCTGCGTAGTGGAGGGGTGAGAGATGGGGGCAAGGGGCAAACTTTACACACTTTGAGACAAAACAGGAAGCGCCTGCAAAGTAGTAGAGGAGAAAGCCAAGAGTTTAAGTGTCCTCATTCATATCCTGGCTGTCTGTCCGAGCGATTTTCCGTGGCGGCGCCGAATTCTCACCTTCTATTTCCACTTGCTCTTGATCTCTCTTCTTTGCTGCATTCTGTTTGGACAGAGAAAGCCACAGTGAAATTCTCCAAAGCCTTAGATTCTGGTGGGAGCTAGTGTCAGTAGAACAAGTTTTTATTTGTAAAAGTTTTCAGATGCAATGACCTAACTGACACACTGGAAGAAACACTGAAGAGGATTCTACCCAAAGCTGAAAGGTACTCCTTCTAGATTGTTCTTCAAATTTGAGGGTGGGACTAAAATACCATTGATCTCAGCACCTTTTATTTATAGATCTCAAATACTGCACAAACATGAGTAAGATCCTCTTTCCCTCTGCTCTGAGTCAGCCCCTGAACTTACCAAAATCTCCCAAAGCCTTCTGTCACAAATACTTTCTTTTCAGCTTCAAGGTTTCTTATCTTTTTACCTCTCTCCAGGTTCTTCTCCAACCTCTGCTCTGCCCATGATTACACTCACTGCTTCGATGTCTCCACTCCTAAGTCATTGCCTTGCTCTGAGTACTCCCAACACAGGTATCCCAGCTTCCTAGTCTCAAATGCTAGCTAGTGCATACTAGTTTGTGTGTTCCTCATACGAGAACTCAGATTTTGTACCCAAGGTACTTACACAGCCTCATTAGTGCATTCACATTCTGCACAAGCTCATCTGTCTTCTCCTAACAGTCCTGGGAGGTAAGAGCAGCTTTAGCCTAGCTGTAAAGCAGATGCTGAGGCACAGGGAGACCAATTTGCCAAGGTCACAAAGGAAAACTGCAGTAAGTAGGAAATGTAACTGCAGACTCCCAAGTTTAGACAAAACATTGAGTTAATGTCCCTTACATTGAAAGGGAAGAAAAAGTTGTTTGTTTTTTGAAAGAAGCATTGTGCAGAGACAGAGCCTCCTTGCACTATATTTTTGCTGAAGTGCAGCTCGCACTTTCTTTTAATTGATCTTCAATATTTTGACTGTGATTAACATTCAGCTCAATTAGCCCAAGTCAGCAAATCAAGACAAAATAATATTAAGAAAACATGCCCATACCTTTTTGTCCCACTGCTGATGTAAATAACGCAAAAGTATATTTGTCTTTTCTGTTACTATGACTGCCAAAGAAAAGAGAGAGAAACATACTGAGGTCATTTTAAAGACAACTTTTAAAATGGTGCAGTGATCACCACATTACTTCACATACTAAGCATGGTCTTTTTTAATGAAAGGACAGTATGCAGGAACACTGATCACTTAATAAGGGTAGAGGAAAAAAGCACAAAAAACAGTAACTGGACATATTCTGCTCATCACAGTGGTGACAGTTCAATGATATCACCTTATCTGAAGTTTTTAAAATATGGGAGATTATATGTATGCCAGATTTTTAATATTAGAATACAATAAAGTTATTAAAAAACCTCAAACTTTAGCGGGGCAGACTTACTTTGTTCAGATGGATATTCTCTCGTGGGAAGATATACCGATGGTCTTCTATTCTGTAGAAGAATTAGAACAGTTACAGAACAAAGACAGCAAAAAGGTGATTTTTAACCCAAGCACAGCTACATCAGCCAAAAGGCCCTCATTAATGCAGGCTAGAAATACATTGCGATATTCTGCCCTGTTACATGACACTATGTGGCTACAGCTTTTTAAAACACACATATAAAGAAGAAGGTCCATTTTTTATATGTTTTTCAGGACATAAGACTACTATTAAAGAATGTATATATAAAGAAAGCACCACAGATGTGGTTTGGCTGCCATGAGGACACATTCCTCACCAAAGCAAGCAGGAAGTTTTCCTTGCCAATCTCAACTCACGAACGATCAGCTGTGATCATACACGTTTTTTAAGAAACAAAAAACTCATTTCAAGTTTATTTCACTCTAGCATCCTTTGAGCCAAGCAAGACAACCTTCCCCCAAAGCACCAGGATGTGGCAATACTTACTGATGCTTTACATACAGAATCCGCATGGAATCTGCTGAAGTTGCTTTTGTTATAGACTGGTAATCCTTTCAAAAAATCTGCCTAAAAAGACACAGAATACAAAGAAGTAGGTGAGGAAAGAAAGAGTGATATTCCATTTGTTGTTTGCTTTGTGCTGATTCTCAAAGGAGTTGCTCAGGTCATCAAAATAAACAACTGCAGGAACTGAAGGATGCTGCCAGGTCCCAGCTAGCGAGATGGCTGTTGGATACTGAAATCCACCCAAAACTGTTTTTCTGAAGTAAGCCAATCCCTAGGTTCTGCATTTGGCTTGTTATATCCCCGAAGTTCAGTAATTCAATTAGAAAGATGCTAATTAAGTATCATTTAGCATATAGGTAATTAAAAAGAGGTATGTTTCCAATTGGGTGAGCTCTGACAGAAGGAAGACTTGCACCACACAAACACCACTGATGTAGCTGACCAGAATTCACAGTAATTTACCAGCACAAATCACAACATCACATGAGGAATCTGCCACAGCTATGCCGATGTCTGAAGTCCTTGAATACAACTCCATATGAAACTAGTTGCTCTTTTAACATTCAGTTAACATTCTTTGTCAAAGACCAAGGCTGGTTCCACAGAGCAACAAAAGCCTACTCGGCCTCAAAAGCCCAATCCTTATCGCATGCTTATCTGCCTGGCCCAACTTTATTTTTCTTTTTGAAGGATCACATCCCTACACATATCAAGGCTCCTGGTACCTCAAAAAAAATAATCCCAAGTTTTGCTGGAAGTGGTTAGATCACCACTCACAACAAAACTGTTGATCACACAGGCCAGCAGAGCTATTTGCTAAACAGCCACGGGAACCCTGCAGAGCCCTCTCAGTTTAATTAAGCCATAGCAGCATGAAACAGGAATTTCCTTCTCCAAAGTGAAAAAGGAGGGCAGGAGAAAAACACTATGGGGTCAGGAGAAAACCGAGCTTAAGAGTATGTTGGAGCCGCTCTACTCACAGCGGAGACAAAGGAAGATGCCCGGCAATGTCTTTAAAGTAAAGAGAAGATGGGTAATAAATGCAAGATGTACCTGTGCAATAAGCAGAAGAGAGAGAGGCCCTGAGACGTCCCTTCTAAATCATCAGACCAGCCACCTGTATCGTAATGATACTTGCTTAAAGATTCGAAGTCTGTTATACTTAACACTAAAGGATTCTACTCCAGAACACACATCACCTTATAAATAAGCAATTTTAAAAGGACAGTAAAGCAGCAGATAAGAAGTCATTTAATTTCAGTGTTAGAAGCAACACATAAATGGACACTATTGCTACAAAACTGCTAGGCTGGAAGACATCATTTTCATTTAAATAGAAGCCATTACTTTTATTAACGCTGCATCTTTAATTCAAAACAAAGAGCTATAATTAGCCAAACCAGAAAATATTATTCATACTTTTGTTCTTAAAAAGAACTCCACTAACATTCTAGTTTCCACATTCGACCCTTCCTATATGCCTGGTTTTAGAAATAATCTTGTTAAAATACTGGACTGGGGTTCAAACAGCAAATTGCAAATTTCTCTTGCCTATCTTAGCCTCCACAGGACCAACACTATTTCCCTGTGCCTTCACTGCCTTTGGTCGCAATTTCTCCAGGACAGAGTCCATCACTCCCTCATCTGCATAACGTCTGTATCACGGCTGAGCTCCGGAATTAAGGCAGGATCTTCCGGCTCTGCTATCACAGAAGCACTTGGTTTCGGACCGCGTTGTGCTCTTCCCACGCCTGCCCCAATGGATTTCTCTGTTCATCTGTTCTCACCGACTTCCACAGTCGGCACCGATTAGCAAACTAATTATATTACTCTGTTTAGAAGGATTGAGGATCTTCAAAAATATCCCGTTACATTTCAAAGCATCTTGCCTTCTCATTGCATTAAATTTGCAGGCTTTTTATGACAAAATAACCTGCTCTGCTACACCAGCCTAATGCACAAAGAGACAGACATGTCCTTGATTTCTTTTATTGCAGCAAAAGCCTGACAACTGCTTGGTTTTATTACCACTTGCAAGAATGGAAAATAACTGGTCTTATTTAGGAGCACACAGCTTCAAGTACCTCTTCAATAAGCTACAGCTCACCCCAAGTTCCTCATGCTAGACTATTCCCTACTTTCCAGTCGGGGATTTGGTCTAGCAGAGCCCACGTTTCCCTGGAAAAGGGCTGGACGAGCAGGATCACAGCTCTCACCAGGGATTCTGCAGTCTTTTGACGGACTTTTACAGCAGAGTGAGTTACGTCCAGTAAGTTGCAAAAATACCGTTAAAATTATCAGTCAAGATGCAATTTAAATGGTGAACGTGGTTCCCCCCCCCTCTACAATATAAACACCTGAAGCAGGATATATACCAGGTAAGTGCAGACTCACAAGCAGGAGGGCTACTACACTCAGACAACACCTGGAGACCTCAGCTCTAACAGCCACAAGCATCCCTGGCTCTTGGCCACCACCTTTCCTTCCTCAGGCCAGCAGTCGCTTGTGTGGACCAGCTCCAGCCCTGCCAGCAGTCCCCACTGCTCAGCCATAACTTAGCTAGAGCAGAACAGGGACACTAAAATGACTGAGCACACGAGACAGACATTTCTCCAACCTAGGCTCCAGTCAGCCCGTTAAGCACTTATCACCAGTTCAACTGAGAAATCTGGTTGTCAGTGACACAGACCATCCCTCCGATAATAATAATCCTGCCGCATACAGGCACATTTCAGCGCCTATCTGCTGACACGATCTCAGAGATCATTGAAAAGGCCCCCTCGGGGGAATTGCCTGGAGTCATATTCCTGGATATTCAGAATCAGACAATACTCCAAGTGCAATGATCCTTATCTGCTCCAAGGGCACCAGACAAATAAGCCCCAGTAGGTCACTGCCATGTTTACACACCTATCGCACAAGGCACACAGAGTCATACCTCCCGTATAATGTCGCATGAAGAAACATTCCCCCTGCGTGCCTTCTGCCACTCTTTAACCAAAGAAAGCGCACCCTAGCCAAGCTAGTGAAGCTGATGAAGCGTCCTGCGTGGAAATGAAAAACCAACACCCAAACTGAGCAGATGCCTCATTTCCTTTGGGGAAAAGCAAGCCCAAAAAACCAAAACAAGTGCGATTATGCAACCTCAGAAGACAACACTGGTTCCTTCTATGATTTGGGAAGTAGAGATAAGATGCATCTACTGCTCCTGTGTCAACAAGGGTGCTCAGCTTCCTAGGAAGACGACAGTCCCCATCTAAAAGCAGAAAGGTGAAAAAAAAACATACACACGTGCCTCATTCTCAGCTTTTGAAAGGAACTGCAGTAACAACGCTCAGAAAGACAAGGCCCAGCACAAAGATGCTGAAAGCAGGGCTCTGTCCCAGCACGATGCACGCACACATAGACATGGGTTAGAGGAAAACGACTAGCACAGGCTTGGGAAGGGCTACCTAAGCTCTCGGCCACAGTACACCTGTACACGGAGACCACAGGGACACCACTGCTTTTCCCATAGTTACTGAGCTTGTGGAGGGGCAGAAGGAAAACCCTCTTTCTTCAAAAATTATTACATCACTACAAAGGGAGGGAAGGAGACTGGAAGCCTCTTGGCTATGACAGCTGCCACCGAACACTCAGGCAGCAGACCAAGTGCCTGTTGCTGCTTAGGGGACACAGAAAGGACTGAACAACCCCCCCAGCCCCCTTAGTGCACATCAGCCCTGGAGACAGGGGAGCACCCCACACCCCAGAGGTGCTCCAATTTCCCCCTTCTGCCCCCCAGCCTTGGGAGCAGAGGAAACACCCTGCACCCTGGTAATGCCCCAGCTGCTCTCAGTCCCCCATCCCTGAGGGTGGGGAAGACCCCACACCCTGGGGGACCCCCACCCTCCAGCCACGGTGGGGAATAGCCCACATCCTGAAGTACTACAGCCGCCCCCCAAATACTAGAAAGGGGGAACCCCCCCAAGCCTGAGGTGTCCCAGCCCCCCTCATCCCCCCCCCCCCCAAGAAAAGAGGTGTATCCCCAGCTTAGGGTGTCCCTACCCTCCTTATCCCCCCACCCCTGGGCGTGGGGAGCCCCGCCATCTTGGGGTGCTACAGCCCTCTACCCCTTGGGGTGCGGGACACCC